CATTTATCTGCTCACCTTGGAAGCCACAAGTACAGGCTCAAATCTCCCAACGTCGCACGTACCCCCAACGATGCTGATTCACCTGCGCGTCGCTAAATCCCCGGCCAAGAAAATATATGGTATGAGAGAAAAAAACAGAAACTACTCATCTTCCGGTTCATTAGCGACTTCACGCCAAAACACTCCTTCATCCAAGGCATCAGGGCTGACATAATTCAAGAGAGCAGCACTTTTCCATTGGCCCATCTGCATGATAACATGCACAGGGCACCCTGACTTGGCCAGGGCAGTCGCCTTGCCTGCTCTGAAAGCCTTGAAACTAAATTGGTCAAACCCTGGGACTTGAAGCATATGGAGCAAATCTCTAAACCGTTTCAAAAACTGGCTGGCCGTGAAATCAAACAAAGGGTGGCCTGGCTCCAAGGACGATAGTCGGCCTAATAACCTATGCGATACGCACAAGATATCCGTTTCAGAACCATTGCACACGCATGGCCGAACCATCACTGAGCCTCCTGGCATGCGCTTCCGCTTCTTTAAGCGCAAGTGGCAAACAAGCTGGGCATCCACCCAAATTGCCGAACGCCGGCCCGGTGGGAGCAAAGATTGATCAGTTAAATCGCCAAACTGCAGCGGCACCGCTTCAGACTGGACCCTGAGCAGAAATTGCCACGCCAGCAAAAATAAATCACCATCCCTCTGAAAAGCAGGCAGCGCGTCACAAAGCTTCAGCAGTCGAACCATGATATCTGGCGTCATCAAGCGCACGTGCTTGAGGACGTGCTGAGATCTGACTTGCTCGGCTTTTTTCAATCCTTGCAACGCCAAATTCACTTCATGCGTACGCCATGCCAACGAATGACCATGGTACTTGCAAGCCCAAGCAACATAGCCCACATAGTTTTTAGCAGTGCCTGCTGAAGAGAACAAGGCAATGAACTTTAGCACATCGGATGGACAGCGTGGCGGAAGAGTTTCTTCCGCGTTGTATCCCAAAAAGCAAACCGCAAAGTGGCGCCAGGCCTTGAGGCCTGAAGCAACCGACGGCCCGCTACCCTGCTGGGAGCACAGCTTCAAGGTTTCTGCTTTGTCTTGCAGCGCCGTTAGCACTTCCGCCGTGTCAGCGCTGGACAATTGCTTCGTGGCCAGCTGAGGGCCCCTTGCTGCAGGTTGAGACATCGACTCGGCGCAGCTCTCAGCGGCATTTTGGCTACCCTTCACCATGCTGGCTGCGTGTTCTGCGGACGAGGCTTGAGGCCTGTCAGCGTCCAGTTGCGAAGCCAGTCTTTTGCGGCGGGCCTGAGCAGCTTGGCACGCAGACTTCAGCGCTGTTTGCAACAAGCATTTGACCTTTTCATCTGCTGAAAACTTCAACACATCAGCGTTTTGCAAGCCGTCTAAATGTTCCGGACACCAAAAACCCCTGCCGACCAGTTGAAGCGCACCTTGATGATGCCAAATTGCTGGCTGAACATGCTTGTCAACTGAAGCCAACCACGCCGCCATGTCTTCGACTTTGGCTTTGAACTCAAGGGCCTTGAGGCCGCCCATCGGGTGCCGAGCCCGACTCGAACCACCAGGAAGAGGAAGGCCATGCCACTTCTTTAATAAGGCTTCTCGACGCGCTTGCAGCGGTTCACTTTGGCCAAACCAGATATCTTTGGCATTGAGCAAAACCGCAGCCCCGGAGGCTAAAACATCATCTTTGTCCAGTTGTAAGCCCTCAGCCGCGCGCAGAGAAGAGACCAGAGCCTTGTCATCTCGGATTGTGAAAGAGTGCAATACGTGAGCGACCCACTGCGAGGCTTGCAAATAGCTAGGCTTCGCTGACAAGGTCACTTTCTCCACGCTGCGCTTGCGAAGCTCTTGGGCCATCAATGGACCTGCAGCAGAACAGGGAATGAAAAGCAGCACTGGCTTAAAGTCCCTTACGGTACACTACTCAAGAGGCATGTAGTGGACATGGCGCTCAAATTCTGTCATCGAGAAGCACGCACAAACCAATAGCACAGGTGGCCCCCAGCGTGGGCTTTGTAACAAAAGGCATGCGGCGCAGGCAAAGACCGCTTTTTGTTTCTTCCCTCTTGTTATCCAGCGTAACTCCACATCTGCTGAACCCAAGGGGGTAAAATTGGGGGAACCCAGGTGGCCTTCAATTGTCCTAAAAGGTCAAACTGCTCTCTCGTGGGCCCGTCTGCAATGTTTGCTGCAGATTCAACCCTTCCGCAATGCAAGTCAATTTGCCCATAGGCTAGTTCAAGCCAGAGTTTCCCTATACAAGCGAAGGACTCAGGACCTCCACCCCCACCCTTGGTCAGAGCATGCAAAACGCCATCATTATCAACAAAAGCGAGCCACAAGGCCCCTTGGAGCAAATGTTCAAAGGTGCCCCAAACGAGGATGATGCCTAACAGTTCCTGGAAACCAATTTGGTGATCCCCCCTGTCAAGCAACAATTTCAAAATTTCCGAGGGCGTCTGCAACCTGGTCCAAAAGAAATTTCCGGCAACACAAATTACTGCTGCAACCCAGGTGGGTTCCCCGGCAGCATCGGACCAGGAGACAACACAAGGCCTGTCATTACTACACCCCCGTCGCACGGACAAGGGCGGTCGCTGTAAGTAGCGAATGAACCATTCTGCCGACCGGCGAAGCCAGGGGGACACAACATGACCAGGTAAGGGGGCATGCGCTTGCGCGTAAAATGGCTTAATGTAAGCGCGCCCCACCCGGTTCCCGCTGACAGTTACAGCAAACGACAACCGCCCTGCCAGTTTTGACGCCTGCCCTGGTTCTAGCAAAGCAGTGTCTAACACAGTTTGTAACAGTTGCGCATATTTGGCGGCTTTTGACGGGTCAACGCGCGTGTGCAAAGACCTACCCCGGAAGTCAACCCTACACAAGGACCCTAAGACAACCATGCTTTCAGCATTGTCGCTATCTTTGTCAGGATCAGTAGGGAAACCGAGCAGGCCAGCCAACACAGTGAGCAACTACCCACCTGTGTAAACAACGCCAAGTTTGCTTGCACCGAAAAAATCATCTACATATCGTGCGACAGGTGCTTTGAAAATTCTTAGGACCAGGGTACGGAGCATATGGCCCACCCTGTGCCAGGCATACACGGCGGAAACAGTCCCAAAAGGCATCCCCTTGTGCTGGGCAGTCCACAGAACACCCTGGTCGATCCACACAGACCATGAAAATTCCAAATGACTAGAGCGGATGGGAACCCGGCGGAAAGCTTTTGACACATCCCGCTTCCACATGTGCACGTTGCTGTCCTGGTTGAAAAAATTAAAAACAATTGCAGCCAACGTGTCCAACGTGTCATGTTGGATTTTGTCGCGTGGACGGGTGGCCAAGTTGACTCCGCTTTCAGACTCGTGGTCTACGACCCGCGTTCTCCAGCCCTTCGCCCTTAGCTCCCTGACTGGTATCCGCCTTGTTAAAGTGACACTTTCAACATCGCTAGGCGTCAAAAGCCTGGGAACGGTCACGGCACCCAACAAGGAATCGTCATGCACTTGCGGGGAAATGTTGTCGCAAAAAGGCAACTCTTTTACTGCAGCAAGAACTTTCTGATTCAACTCAACCCTGTTCTGGCGCAGCTGCTGTACGGTCATTCCTGCCTTGAAGACCTCTGATTTGCTGCTACCTTCGCAAGGAGGCAGCTCGCCCACCAACGGAAATCCAAACTGCAGGTCGCGCAAGAAGCTGCCTGCTTCTACTCCAGCCATTGCGAGCAAGCAGCGCCACAAGGGGCCATGGATGCGACTGGTTAACAGTTGCACTTCAGCCGGGGAACCTTGGGTCCATTCCACCCTTTCAGCTTGGAGTTGATCCACGGCCTGCAAGACTTTTTGCAGCTGCTGCTGACGAAAATTGTGAATGTCTTCAACCGTGTGGGCACATTCAAAATTTATGGCTTCTTGCAAATCAGAATCTAACACTTGGAGTGAGCCAGCAGGATGCTTTAGAGCCAACGAAAATTCAACATGTTGCAACGGACTGAGCCCAACCGGCGCGCCCAAGCCATGGGGGACCAAAAACCTAGATGAAACCTGGGGCCCTTCCACAGCACGTTGGGCAAGGCCATGTAAGCTGGGCAATTCAGCGTGTGCAACACCTACCTGGCTCTTAGCTGGCAGCTCTGTTTCTCTTGGCAAATCGAAACGGCTTGAAACAGACAGGTCGCAGTGTGGTGAAATTGCGTCGGTTGCAAACTGCTGCAGCTGCACTGGTCGCTCTGCAGGCTCATGTCAGCGTTTGGCACCGTCTCGTTGGTACTTTTGTTTCTGCTGGGCTGCTCTTCTTGCAGCAGTCTTCAAATACCAGTTGTGTGTCTTCTTTTCCCGGTTTGTGAGCGGCCGGGCATCCGTTGGCTGGTTGGGCTCTCCACCGCCCGCAGGACCTGCACTGAACATCTTCTGCTGCGTTTCCATCAACTGCTTGGTGACTCTTTCAGCCTGTTTCTGGGCTGCTTCAGCAGCTGCGAGCTGTCGAGACACCAGCTCGTCCGTGCTTTCTCTGGGAGAGGAAGAAGAAAGCGGACGGGCCTGCTGCTCACTCAAACCGGCTTCTTTCATGACTTCGGCAAGCCGATGTTTTGCGATATCCAACAAATCCTTGTCAATCTTTTGGGCTTCGCCTGGAATGTCCAAGCTTGGGTCGCCTTTCTCTGCACGACGCGCCCAATTTTTCCTCAGGAGCTCTTCGTACAGGAAGGCCAAGAACGGCCTATTTCCCTTCATCCGCTCTTGTTCGGCCAGCTGGAGAACGTTGTCCACATGCGCCAGCGCAACTGGCCAAGACAGTTGACCTGTCGCAACGGCCACTATTGCGTACCGAAGAAAAGCCCCATTCCACTGAGACACTGTTCGGAAGAATCTAGGAGAGGCAGTGGCACTCTTCAATGCCTTGCCTAAATCCTGCAGTGAGGAGATGGGGACGTGCCCTCGCAGAGGCCATTCGCCATCATCATGCAACTGGAACTTCCCACCAATCACATCAGGCGTGAGCCACATCGGAAGAGTCTCCTTGGAAGTAAGGTCCACAAACAGAAAAGGCGTTTTTCCGGATGCCTTGCATTCTTCTGTGTGCTGGTGCATGCTATTCCAAAGTGACTGCTCAGCTTGAAGCCCAAAGCTCACATTGGACATGTGGGCCTTGTGCAGGAGATTGGCCACATCTGCCACCTTGCTTAGCAGAAACAGTTTGGCCAGCGACTGCGCGCTGGAAGTTGTACCAGCCGCCTGTTGAGCTCTACGGGCCTGGGACACTGCATCAACAGCCCTAAGCACACGGCGGATGCAGGCTTGGACTGGCAGCTCTTTTGGAAATTGGTCTTCAAGCATCTGCTCCGTATATCCCTCAGCCAACGCTGGAGATTCAACTTTCATCGTATCTGTGAACCAAGAGATGGTTGCTTTCACCACGGCCTCACCAGGGCTTGGGTCTTCCACCTTCTTCAGGAAATCCGCCCATGAGGCCATTGCCCTGGAGGCTCAAGCAAAAAGAAATCTGGAGCCTGAGCCGGGGCTGCCACACACCTTAGTAATTGTGCCTCAGCACACGTTGGAACCTGTGCATCCAAACAAGTCAAGTGCCACGCTACTAGATTAGAAACAAGTGCATCGCTACTAGTAACAAGTGCCTTACTAGTAGTAACAAGAAGAATTTAGTTGTAATTACTAGCTCTGGAAAACTACACTTATTTTTCACATTCTTTCACTGCAGCTTTGCAGACAAGGGCACGGCCATGTTGCCGTTTTGCAAGAAGTAATTCACAGGGATCTGCCAGGCTTCCCAAGTCATGCTCTTCAGGCGCTGGCACAGCTCAGCCTGCCAGAGCCCCATCACTGCTTCTATATTCCAGTAGCATTGTAGATCTGATGAAACACCCGCCAAAAGCCACGCATGAACCACACAGGTGTAAAACAAGAAGGCATCTGTTGTAGAAGCATATTTATCCGTACCACTGCTTTGGCAAGAAATACTGTGTGCGCTTTGCGCAATGGAGCAACACCCACCTGCGTGTGACCAGCAGTTGCACTGTGTATCCCATTGCGTCGGCACCTCTGTCCCAACCGTCAAGCTGAGAATCCACAAAAACGCAGTTTTCCGAAATTAGTGGAATGATATTCTAATATATCGGTGTTTCAGAAAATCTCCAATGTCACCAAGGTGCAACTTCAGCAGCTCTGCGCGTGAGGCGCTTGGCCAACTTCGCACAGCCTTGCAGTGAGCACAGAGCGTTCCGGGTAGGGGCCAAACACTTTGACAAAAGCCTGTCCCTGCCTGGAGCATCGCAATGAGATCCTCTCGCACGAAGGACGGGGGGCGCAATGCCTTCCGACTTGTACCTGAGGTTAGGGGCACCTCAAGTACATTTGCTATTGGGTTAGAGGCCATCACTTTTAGGTTGGAGGCCATCGCTCTTAGGTTGGGGGGCCATTGCCACTACTTGGAGGCCCGAGGTTAGGGGCACGAGCATCTTAAACACCAACCTCCGGAGTTGGGACATTTCGACAGAAGCACAGCAAGAGCAAGAACGCTACTAGGGGCTCCTGGCCTTACTACTAGGAGCAATGTTCGCTACTAGGGGCTCCTGGCCTCGCTACTAGGAGCAAGGACACTACTAGGGGCACAGAAGCACAAGCTCCAATTGCTCCAACTGCAGCCCTGCTGCTGTTCCCACAACTCAGCATCTGTGAGCGTCTCCAATGGCGGTCTGGTGCGATGGCGCGTCGGTTGTTGGATCCAACGCTGGATGGTTTTGCTTGCTTCTAAAATTTCCACCTGGGCAACCTTGAGCACCTTAATGGGCAAGGATGACATGCGGGGCGCTTCCTGCCTTTGTGACAAGCCCTCATCTGGCCTGAAGTCACTGCAGTTGACCCAGAATCAATATCAAATCCACATAGAAAATGTGTTCCCGCGTTCAAAACGCAATTCCAAATGCTACTTTTGTGTGATTGTGTGTATATGGTCATATTGGCTCGCAGCTGAACTTCAGGCACTGGATCGAATAGAACAAACTTCTGTGGAGCTCATTGTAGTTTCCCTCCAAAGCTGAGCATTCAGGCTCGACGTTGTCCTTCAGCTCAGTGTGACCTGACAACGAAAATACTATAATCATAAACATATGCATTTCTTTTTTTGGATCCCCAAGCCAAACTTGCAGGTCTCAAGGTCTCGAGGACAAGTGACTGCAGCTCATGTTAAAAGCAACAGATTCTACAGGCGTGTAGAAATGTCTTTGGTGGCAGACTTCATTAGATGATTTTGAATGGCAAGGATGCCCCCGGATGCCAGCCTGTCTGAAGCGGAGCGTCCTGGTCAAGCATCGAGTAGCAGAGAAGCACATCCTTCACCTTTTTCCAGAGCCCTACAGTACCAAGTCCTAGCCCGGGATGAGCTCTTCCAACCACATTGGAACCAATCCACACCCTTTGCTCACAGACTACGTTGGCCAACACAAACATTTCACGCACCAGCCGCGGGTACAAAATGGTACAAATCTCAAATTAAATGGCACATCGCATAGTCGTTCCCAATTCGTCTGCTGTGCAGTGTGGAAACAGGGCACGAAAAGCATAAAGGTAAGTAAAGGCATAATTAAATGCCTTGATGTGCTTTCAAGGTTTACAAATATTGAACCTTGTAAATCTACATCGCCTGAGGTTCCAGGTCCACACTACTGGCATGCATTAATTGGCTTGCCTTGCGGTCCATATTCCACTGGGGTGAGGCCACTACGAAGCACTTCTCCTTGCAAATCCGTTCAACTGTCTTTAGAAATCGTATACACAAGAATCTTTGCCAAACGAACCCAACTCGCCTGTGTGGAACGACGCCGCTCAGCTGGGCGCCGCTTGCGCCGTGGCTCCCTTTCGACAGGCCTCTTGGAGGTGTGACTGTGAAGCACAACACTTTGACAAAAAATGAACAAAGGAAGGTAAGGTCACATTTAATGAGGGGCCCTTTGAAGTAAAAGGCCCCTTATTGAAGGAGGCTGTACCTTCCTTTGTTCATCTCTTTTTGGTCAAAGTGTTGAGTGATCCCTCATGACCTCACCCGCCATCTCTCATGAAAAGTCCGTTGTCCAAGCATCTTGATGATTCCATTGTCACACATGAATCTAAGACTGCCGTTTGAGCATATTCATTCGTTACCAAAAAGCCATCCAGCCTCAACTCTTCAGCCGCGGAGAACTTCTTCAGTGCGCTCAGGGTCACCGAGGCAAAGCGCTTTTCCCCTTTTTGCTTCAAGGACCTCACCGAAGAGGGCTTCAACATGCGTCAATTCAGCTAACCTGTTAACCTATATATGGCTACAGTATATTATATATATATATGTGTATTGAAAAAATGAGAGGAAAAAGAAAGTAAGGCTAGCAGTTGATCGAATCATTATATATGTCATTTTATGTGTACAATGCGCGAAACCGTGGTTCAAGCCAAGCCATTATATTATGGCAGCCACTGGATGATGGGAACATGAAAACATATCAACAACTAAAGAACCTGAGCTCTACGTTGGAAGATTTGTTGAAATGTGCTACGGTTGCTGGTGTTTGGCCAAGTGAAGAGGTTGGAGTGGCAAACGTGGATATGGAATTACATCCAAGCTGCTCATTTAGAGAGTTGCCCCTCAGCTCGAGTACCAGCTCAGGGATATTTCGTACGCCAATCCTCTCCAACTTTGCTTGAACAGCGTCCACATCCTGTCAGAAAGCCGTTGCCCACTCTTAAAGCTTCACTTTCACTGAAATTGAATTTGCCGTGCCCTTACCATCCCTTACCTACTGCAAAATAGGTACACCGTCCCTGTTTAACGATATGTCGCAGCTAAGCAGTGGTTACAATCCTCGTTTACTTTCACCCTGGGTGCCGCTAAACAGACTTGAAAAACCCTTTGTTCTTCTTATCAGAACCACATGCTCCGGTCCTTGCTGCCCCAGGCTGGCTGCGCGCGACACAACAGTTCACGCAAGCGTTGCTCTTCCGTCATTGCGCCGGAAAAAAGAGTACAGAAAAAAGAGTCCGTCATTGTCACCTGCTTATTCCAGAAAACAAGCACACTCCATATGCTTATTCCAGAAAAGGGAATCGCATCACCACATCTTGATGAATCCAATCATAGCTCAAAGTGCCAGCCAGAACAGCTCAGAATCCAGTTCTCTGCCACATGACATGACCACTTGGATAACCCCACAAGCCTCTTCTCCTCGCTGCAAGACAACGGTTTGAAGCAAGGACTCTCAAGGTGGTATATCAATTCGCTTAGTTCAATTGGTGCAGAAATCAACTAGCAGTTGTTCTGTGTGCGTTGTGACTTTTTCCAGAGGCCTTGACCTGCGGGAAAGCCCTGCTTCGGCTTGTTCTTCAAGCTAAGGTGAGACAAACTCATGCGCAAACGTGCTGTGAGCTGTAATGTCTATCAAAAATATCATGGACCTCAGAAACCGATTCTTTGGTGATTGCCTGGTTTCAGCAGATACACCTGGGTCCCATCAAATTCAACACAATAGCCTATGGTTTCCCTTCTCCAGGGTTTCCAGTCTTGCAGGACCGAGAGCACTACCGGAGCGACAGCTCAGGTGGTCAATTGTGACTCTCTTGCTGTCGACATTGAGCTCCAGAGCGCCTGGAGTAGCTTCAATCTCCTGCCGAAGGATTGCACTTGCAAAAAAGAGAATCTCCTGTCTCGTCTCACACTTGGGAGACCCCTGGCAAAAAGGAAAAGAAAACAGGCTTGCGCTTCCCAAGTTGCCATCACACCGCCTCGCGCCTCTCTTTTCCATGAAGGGCAAACCGCAGCCCGTGCTCCGCGGTGCACCCGCGGCGCGGTTGCATTCGCGGGAGCCTCGAATTGCAGGGGAGCACCTTTAGTGTCAAAGAGGAGGTCACTAAAGCACAGTATGGTATGAACAATACTAAGTTAAACTAAGCCAAGGCGCATTCCATGAAGTGCCTTTCAAACTCCTTTGGATCTCGGCCACTCCGCTTTTCGAGTTCGGCCACAACAGTGCCAAAGAGGTCCTGACACCCGAAAACATTGGGAAAGTTACCTGTGAACTCCGTTCTCTACTATAATGTACAGCTTTGCACAGACCGCAGTAGGAGATTCTGCACCCTTCTCAACTAGACTCAGCATCCCTCCTGCGGCCTCCTCTGCACCTGAACTGGTATGTCAACTAAGCCTACAAATGAAAACTTCACATGCAACGAAATCGAAGTACGTGGCAAGTTGTTTCTACGTTCGCTCCCCTAGTAGCGTCCTTGCTCCTAGTAGTAAGGCCAGGAGCCCCTAGTAGCGTCCTTCCCTGCTGAATTGGGATCGACCTGTGAAGCTACAAGTAAGAACGAAGGCGTGGCAAAATTGAGTCTCCCAAGCTCACTCGCATGTCGCAAGGACCGAGTGAAGCACCACGTCTTTCAGCACCTCTGCCACAGCTCTGGCGGGGGAATCCATGCCTGAGCGCCCGTAGGATTTCTTGGGACGTATTCAAAGCCACCGTGTCCAGGCTGGACTTTCTTGGCAAGTTTCCTACTGGGCAGAGATTCCTAAAGCACCATCATCACTCTTGGAGCTCTAGAACATGACTCCTGCTTCTATCTACTGGACCAGTCTAGCACGAAAACCCTGCTCTTGCTGGGTTGTAAAATAGTTCAGCTCCTATGTAGTATCCTCCATTCACTGCACGTTAGGGCAAATTTTGAAAGCCCACAATCACCCCAATGACTTCCTTCTGCTCAAACCTGTCTGGTGTGGAAGTCGAGCATCGAAGCATAGACTGAGCACGGTCACCAAGACGAAACTCGACCAAGGCAAGCACCGGGGAAGGAAGTTGTTGCCGCAACCCAAATGGTTCAGGAAACAAAAAACATTGAGCCAACAGGTCTCCAAGGTCTTTGCTAAATCTTCGTGTCTGAGCCATTCAAGTAAATCGGGTAGTTGTCAATGTACCTTCAATCATATATATATAATATATATATATATATAACCAAAACATCTCCAACAAGGCAAGGATTCTACGAAGGTCCCACAAAAAAAAGATGGTGTCTTTGACTTGTTTCACACCGTACAAACCAATGTGCCGCTTGTCTTTTGAGAATCCTCTCTTGACCTCACATGTTCACCCTCTTTTGCCCCATAGTTCCACTGTGAATCTTGCCAAGTTTGCTTGCTTTTCAAGCCAACCAGGCAAGGCAACGCGTCCGTCGCAAATGTCGTCTGTGACTGTCTGCTATCCACACCCTGCCCTCCTGCTCTAGACTTTCTGCAATTATCCAATGGACAAAGACAGAAAAGACTTGCCTGCAAACGGCCCTTCTACCGAAAATAGTGAGACATGACACTTTTTGTGTCGGCTGGCGCTCTCCTTAATGTTTGCAAAGTCTCTTCAAGACTCAGCTTGGGCTCAAGTGGCCGATGCCTTGTCAAAGGTTGAGACTTTGATGTGTGGTTTTGCAATGTTGGAGAATTATAGCATTCCAAAATTTAAAAACAAACAAACAAAATGACAAATATGTAACTTGATGTTTTTCTCATACTACTACGACATCTAAGCTCACAACCTGCACATCGACACAGGCTCAACCTGAATCGTCAAGCCACCCTTGAACTGACCAACGGCCTTGATTCTCCCAGCCCAACCCTCACCCTTTTCAGGATGATCTGGATTATATCCAGCACAGGATCAGAGAGAGGAATGCTCAGGTACCCACCAAACGAAGAATAGTGTCCGCCATGAGCACCTGACACTCAGCTCCAGTCAAGGTCCGGTTTTAAGCACTGAGTTATTTCAGCAGTATCTTACTCTTGAAAACAATATCTAGGACGAGCCTATCACTGTGGAAAACACGATGTCGAAGAAGCTAAGGCAGCTATGTAGGGCTTAATAAAGAGCTCTGACTTCAGCTGTTGCTCTTCTTTCATCTTCTTTCTAAAGTGGTTTGGAGCTGCTTGACCTCCCCGATATCGCCCTTTAGTTCTCAACCGTACCATCCAGTACCATCCAGTACCCTGTTTGCACTGTTTGCACCCTTGCCGACACCTTTCAGCACAGCTTGTCAACTACAAAGCACGTGTCTTTCCGTCTCACCTTCAGCTCAAGCGTGCGCCGAGTGCACTTTCGGTGAAAGCGCCTGGTCCAGGCATGGGAGATGGCCTCCCAATGCCGTTGTGGCGGCCCTTCAAGCTCGCACATGGTGCATCACCCACCTGGGTGTCCCAAAAATCGAAAACAATGTGTGTGTATATGTTTTGTGTCTATTATGTTATATATATATATTATATTATATATATATATGTTATATATATATTATATATATATATTATATATATATATGATGCAAAAAAATGTTCTACAAGGTGTGACGGTTGTGAATTCTCACTTCGCGCATCACAACCAGGCAAAACATTAAACGAGGTCTACAGTGCGCGGGTTGCCAAATTCTCCTTGTCTGCTCGACGCCTTTTCTGGAGAGTGTATGTCTGGATATACCAAAAGCCCAGGAGGCTTGCCAAATTCTTCATCAAGGTGAAGGTGACACCGATTTATCTACTTCTTCGCTGTATGTCCTTGAAATGTTGTCGCACATGCTGACAAATAAGCCTTATGAAATGAGGGCTGGGCTGTGGAAGACACCATGTATGCACCAGGTCCAGGGGTCATCTCTGCAGCACCGTTGGGACCTGGACATAGTCGATGGGAATTAGCCGTTCGAGAAAGAGTTTGCAGATTCCCACTCACAAACAAATGATCCTGAGGAAAATCTAGGATGTTGCACACGACACGGTGCCGAAATGTTTGTACGTATTTCACTCTTGGGTTGACTTGGTGAGATCGCTACTAATAGCAAGGTGCATCACTACGAGTAACTAGTAGCTAGAAGCTACTATCTTCACTAAGGAACTTCTGGATTCCGTGGAGTTGCTCCAGGACGCGCACGGTTGGAAGTGCCAAAGCGCCAAGAAGGCGTCTTGCTCGCAGTGATGTCGCCCTCATGTCAGATCTCTGTACACACATGGCTGGCTGTACCACAAGAATTCATTTCCGCAGGTTGTGAGGACAGCACTTGGGAGTAATCTCCGGGTCCAGGAAGGACTTGTTTTTTGCCAATGTCCTGGGTCTCAGAATGCGGTTTCATCTAAACGTTTTGATGGAATGCTCTGAATGCATTTTCCATAAGAAAGATTGTTCCATATTGTTACTAGTAGCGTCCTTGCTACTAGTAGTAATGCCAGGAGCTACTCCTAGTTGCGATGCCCTTTATTACTAGTAGCATCCTTGCTACTAGCAGTAATGCCAGGAGCTACTAGTAGTGTCCTTGCTCCTGGTTGCGATGCCCTTTGTTTCTAGTAGCATCCTTGCTACTAGTAGTAATGCCAGGAGCTGCTAGTAGTGTCCTTGCTCCAAGTAGCGATGCCCTTTGTTACTAGTAGCGTCCTTGCTAGTGGTAGTAATGCCAGGAGCTGCTAGTAGCGTCCTTGCTCCTAGTGGCGATGCCCTTTGTTACTAGTAGCGTCCTTGCTACCAGTTGCCCATGTCTCGCTGCTGAACACACCGAGACTGCGACAATTTTCTGCCCTGCCGAGTACTTGGGAGATTTGCCCACCATGGCCTGCTTGGATTGGTGTGCTCTTGCTGTAAGTGCAGCATGGCTGCTTCGTTGCACATCTTCGTTTGCAGGAAACGCGACAGGAATGCATGTTGTGCAGATGATGCATGTTGGGGCTCACATGCATAGTTGACATCACTTGATCCACTGTGTTTCCCAAGTTGCCTCAATTTCATAGTCTCCAGGCCCAGGCAGGTCCCCGACGTCACCAACTTTCTGCCGCTCTCGTCGCGGCGTCATGGTCCACTTGGAGGCCGTCAAACCAGCCTCCTGAACTTTCTGGAGGCACACTGAGATACACTAGGCAGAGTTCTTACATCGAATCCGCTGGAGTTGCTCGAGTGCCTCACCCGTTCCAACTGGGTCACTACATGTCACCAACCCCCTTAGATCGTTTGCTCAGATCGCGCGGTCCTTGGCCAACTCGTAGGCGCCAGGCCCTGGGATCTTCTGTTTGCCAACAGGATCTCGCCCCGACAAACCAAAGGAGAAAATGGGCCCCTGGCATGAAGACGCGTTCGCGACAGGCTTTTCTGCGTGAAAAGATTGATTTCAAATGATTTCAAAAAGAATAAGAAAGCGTTCCAAGCCTTCTGGTATCTTGACCTCAAGACAATTGAAAGTCTCTCAGTTTCATGTCAACACAGCAAGTCCATTGGACAAGGTGCACTGCATCCATTGCATCTGCGCGTGGATCCAGGTGATACCTCAATGCTTCTCCCACGGACATGGAGATTGGTCAACCAAGTCAAACAATGCTAAACCCTTGATCCCAAGTGTGTTGAAGGGTGTTGCCATCTTGCACCAGTCCAGGAGAAGTATGAAGAATGATTGAGTATGATAATCTTGTGCTTGCCACGTTATCAGACAGTGCATCAGTGTGCTGTGCATGGGGCTTTCAGCTCCAGCAAATAACCAACGCCTGCATGTATTTGCTTTGGTTTTCCAAACCGGAGGTGCGTCTGCCCTACGATTTATGAAAGCATGTCTCAATAGCTAGATCAACAAGAAAACTTTATCTCAATCCTTAGAAGCCGTCATTGCTGCCGGCGCACGCGCCGGGTCCAGGTGGAAGAAATCGCCGTTCAAAGTCACTGGACTGGTTAAAGGTCCATCTGCCAGCCGCATGAGCACATCATACGATCACATCTAACATCTAAGACGACAATTCTTCAGGCACAATCTCACAAATTTGAAGCCGGCTGCTCGACATCATCTCAGTAAAAATTCACTTCCCATGATGTTTCACACCACTACAGCCTGGGTGATCTTCGAATGTGTGAAAGGCCATGCATTCGTGGAAACTCCTTTCCAAGCACACAGCACCTCTGCTGTTTCTACAATCCTTTACCTCTCATGGCAAAGCCTCTGCTAAATGTACTTCCAGGAAATCTACAGTAAAAGAATCTGCCAAGACGTGAGCCTCATGCAATCAATCTCTAAAGCAGCAAAGGGGACGTAAAGTTTTTCCAAAAGCATTGCCATACCGGCCATATCTTGGCAGCCCTAGCACCTCTCACCGAGGCAAGCACTCTCTCTCACCCACACCCAAGCACCCCCCAGTACCCTTTCCTCCTTTGTGCGGTCCCGAGGCAACTCGCCTCAGTCGCAGTGCGATAGAAAGCTTAGACCCGTCGACTACAGTGGATGGAAGTGCTCGGTGAATCTATGCATCTTCCAAGCGATGTTGAGAGCACATGTGTAAAAATCTAAATACACCAAAAGTCTTCAGCCTTCATGGTAGATCTTTGGCTCTGGCTCTGCCTTCATTCTGTGTGAACCATACTTCGGTTCATAGGCGGGACAGTACGATTGTCCCCGAGTCCCCGCACCCAGGGAGCCATCAACCAGACCCTCCGCAGCAGCTACAAGGGCAGACAAGACCTCCTGTGACAGGGGCTTCCCGCTCCGCTGGAGCATCCTTGGTAATTCGTTGCAAAAGAATAGCTGAATAGCAACATCTTTAAATGGTTCTTCTTTCGTCCGGTTTCTCTTCTGTTCACTTCTGCTCTCTTCCCCCCCCAAAAAAAAACGAGCTCAAGAAGGCAAGCTTGTGGCCACTCGGCCGACTTGGGTTAGGCCGGTTTGGTTGCACACTTGGAGTCGGGCTCAGCCAAAGTCTTTCCGCGCACGGCAATTTGGAGCTCTTGGAGGCTGGTGATGCCTACACGGCTCAGCCTCGCTTCGATGGCCTCCATGTCCTGCAGATCGTCTCGACAGGAAGTCGCCGTCAGTCGCTGGTTTTCAAGGTCCAAGGTCAAGGTAAAATGGCGGGTTCTTTGCGGGTTGCAGGGATCCTCCACTTCAGCAAGAATCATTGGACGGACATGCACCGCTTTCAATGCACCTGCAAATGATCTATATAAATGCTTTGGCCCAAGAAGTCCTTCTTGCCTATCCCGAAAGCTTGGAGGATTGCACTTCAAACAGGTTGACTGAGAAGTCAAATAAGTCAAACAGCATCTAATAGCAATGGCCTCCACCCCAAGAGCGATGGCCACCCTAATAGCGATGGCCTCCAACCTACCAGCGAGGGCCTCCAACCTAATGGCAATGGCCTCCACCCTGAGATCGTAACACTTGTTGAGCAAAAAAAAGTGATGCGAAGAATACACAAATGACACACAGGTCCTTCTTTCGCCACGGCCTAGATGGCTGCGCCAGCTGCAACAAATCTCTCACGGAGTTTGGTGGGGCCATTTCTGCGCAAACCAGAAACAATTCAAGGGGCAGACGGTCAAATCATGCTGACTTGCAGGTCTTCCAGCAGGTCTACATTGTGCTCCCTGGCTGTAGAGTTGCAAACCCATGCGAGAGAAGAGCGTGGCAGGATGAGTCTCAAAGAGGCCCTTTAAAATGTTCAACTCATGGTCTTTTATTATTGACACTAGAGCATCAACGGCACATGCAGCACTTGTACCTGCTACTTACAAGTGCTGTTGCAATGCCAAAGCATGCCAACGGTGTGATGCAATACCAGTTTACAGGCAGCAAGGACATTTTGGAATCACATCTTAGGTATGTCTTGGTAGAGCCTTCAAGAAGCATGACTTTCTGCTATTCTCATCTTTCCTTTACAAATCTGTGTGTTCAGCTCCCGTGCTGGGCTGTTTCGCAACATCTCCTCTCCTCGCTTCACTGCTTCTTGAGTTGTGAATCAGAGCCGTATGTCCATGGTGCTTTGCGGTGCTTTACATTTACTAATAGTGTCCTTGCTCCTAGTAGCAGGAGCCCCTAGTAGCGTCCTTGCTCCTAGTAGCGGGGCCAGGAGCCCCAGTAGCGTCCTTGCTCCTAGTAGCGAGGCCAGGAGCCCCTAGTAGCGTCCTTACTCCTAGTAGCGAGGCCAGGAGCCCCTAGTAGCGTCCTTGCTCCTAGTAGCGAGGCCAGGAGCCCCAGTAGCGTCCTTGCTCCTAGTAGCGAGGCCAGGAGCCCCTAGTAGCGTCCTTGCTAGTAGCGAGGCCAGGAGCCCCTAGTAGGAAGCCCCTAGTAGCATCCTTGCTCCTAGTAGCGAGGCCAGGAGCCCCTAGTAGCGTCGTTGCTCCTAGTAGCGAGGCCACGAGCCCCTGGTAGCGTCCTTGCTCCTAGTAGCGAGGCCAGGAGCCCCTACTAGCGTCCTTGCTCCTAGTAGCCAGGCTTGCTCCTAGTAGCGAGGCCAGGAGCCCCTTAGTAGCGTCCTTGCTCCTAGTAGCGAGGCCAGGAGACCCTAGTAGCGTCCTTGCTCCTAGTAGCGATGGCAGTAGCGTCGTTGCTCCTAGTAGCGAGGCCAGGAGCCCCTAGTAGCATCCTTGCTCCTAGTAGAGAGGCCAGGAGCCCCTAGTAGCGTCCTTGCTCCTAGTAGTAAGGCCAGGAGCCCCTAGTAGCGAACCTTGTTACTATTCTTTTCAGAATGACCCCTACATCCCGGCGTCACGTGTGCCAAGCCTGCCCTGGTCTTGCCGCGGGGCTCACAAGCAATCTTTTTTCGGCTCATAGACCAAAACAAGGCTTGCATGGCGAATTGCGGGTGGCTGTCGTTTCATCACTAACAGGGATTCTTCAAAAGGACTTACTCTGAGGAAGCTTGTATTTCAAAAACCCGTCGTGATGAACGCAGCTCGTGAGTACTTGAAGCCAGGGATGGAGCTTTGGCAGAGTCAGAAATCCGACCTAACCCCACAATGTTTTATCAATAGTCTGGGCAAGATCTCCAGTTGGATCTTGGTGTTACGGCAACTACCTGTTGACCCATGGACAAGAGGACAAGTTAACTATCCACGTGCCTGTTTCCGCATTACACTTCGGGGGTCCTTGGTCCTACGAGCCGTGTGGCTAAATCTTCTTCTGCCAGCTCCTCCAAAAACATTCATCAGCCCTTCGTCTCTCGACCATTTTCAAGCAGGAAAAGACAAAGGAGTTTGGCCGAATAACGGGCTTGCGGACGGCAAGGTGAGGATTGAAGATCTCCTCTGAGCCAGGTCTGCATGCTCCAAGCTCACTTCTTAAGATTCTGAGCAAATCGAGAAGTGCATCTGTATGACCAGACCCCAAATGGAATTTTGGTTATCAACAAAAGTGTGTGAACAATCTAACCGGTAGCTAGCAATGACTGCCATGCTTTGGGACGGACAAACCCGTTGTGGACAAATACATCTTCAGTTCATCAAAGAGCTTCTTTGAATCCGGCTTCGGTGGTTGGCTGTGGAAGCACCTTGTCTGTGTGTGTGTTTGTGTGGAAACCCTCCTGTGTGTCTGGGTGTGTCTCCTCCATGAACGAACACTACATTGACTCCAGCAATCAACTCCTGGAATCTGGAGTGTGAGTGCTACGGAAAAGGCGCAGAGGTGAGGTATCCAATCCGATCAATCCGATCAATCCGATCCCACACATTTTCAGTCTCTTCGAGACACTGCTCAGCGCCGTGTGCGTGCTCAACGTGCTCAAAGCGCTGCCTCAATAGAGTGGAAAGAGGGTAAGGGCAAGGAGGTGTGTTTTTAAAATTTTAATGAAAAGAGGAAGGTAAGGCCTTTGCCTTCCTTTCTTCATCTCTTCTTTCTTCGTGTGACTAAGAGTAGATAAACTGGTTTCCTTTTGAACTGGTTGCTCAGCAGCAGTTGTTCTTTGTTCAAGGGCCAAGGCTCCACAACAAGTCCTATCAGTATTGTAGTCCCTCTGTGACTCTGTGTGTAGGTTGATTTCAAACGCTGTTCCACGCTTAGTCTTCACCACCGGTTCCAAGTTCTGGGCCACGCTGAAGTGTGATGAGAGGTCTTTGCCTCTACCTCAGAGGCCCAGTGCCAGGGCTTTGCCCGCATAAAAAGTCATCAAACACCAACGCATTCAGCTAGACACCCATCCCAACGTTTATTTGGAACAGTGAACAATGCTTCTTGTCACACCCCGTTGGAGACTGCCCTAAACTCATAAACCTGCAAAATCAATCATTCAGTTCCAAGGTCTGGACATTCTCAGATTCTGAAACGAAAGTTGCCGACCCCCATCTCAATATCAAGCATCTGGCGAAGCAAAGCCGAGACAAATGCTGCGTCACTTCACATCATTCATCTATGAGATCATCAACTTCAAGTTATAAAAAATACTTTGGATGCATTATCGTCACAGCTCTGAAGGTTTTGTCAAGTTTGCGTGTTCATTTATTTGCGTGTACTATTGCCACTCACTGGTGCACAACTATTATATAAGACTATAGTCAAGCTGTACGGCCCCAAGTGCTGAGGATCCTCACTGGGAATCACCTCCCCCTTGATGACACGCTTCCGGTAGACCTTCGACAGCAAAGCTGCTTGGATTCTGCATCGATCTAGAAGGGTCGATGGTGCTCGGCACACAGAGCTCCGGGCCGTCTTCAAGCCTGGGTAGCCTGACAAAGTGGGGTCTGAGAATTGAATACAAACAAACTTGAAAAACAAGAAAAGAGCAGGATGTCATTGGCCTCAGTTTGCACAAGGAAGAAGACTATTCACAGTTGTAGAGTGGCCTCGAGAGCTGCGGTCTTCCTCAATGTACCCCACGTCCTTTGAGATGCGAACCTGGCAGTTTCGTGGCAAAACCAGGGTCTAAAAGCATTGCCTCGGCTTTGTATGAAAGAGAACCACGGGCCAGCCCGGCTGCATTCTCGTCAATCTCAAGCTGCCTGCATGCTGCAGCGGTGCTTCAGCACAATTCAAGAACATGGTCTTCTCAGCCCGTGCTACGCTCTGGCTGCTTCTTATGGCTGCTGACAAGCAAGCCTCTTCAAGATGCGTCGAGCACACAGAAACTGATTTTCATCAGGCCCTTAGAATTCGCAAAAGCGGGAGACAAACAACCAGTTGCAAGTAAGGAGCCCGAGAAAAACACCATTGTGGGGTGTAGATGGTATCGAGTGAGGGACAAGAGCTGGATGCGATGGATGAGACCGGATTGAAAGAAAAATCCACAAATTGTCAAATAAGCATTCTATGAGGGAAGAAACAGACTTCTGCCAGTGAAGTGACAGGGTGGGGGGGGCACAGCAGCTGCAAGCTTCTTGCTTCTACATAAAGATCCCTATCAAGCACCATGACCACGGAACCTGATTCGGAAACAATCAAAGTCCAGTCCTCAACCTCGGGTACCAGATTCTACAGTTCAAATATTCCAGGAGCAGGGAATAGGATTTCTGAATCCGAAAACCCGCGGATTCAGAATGCGTTGCGCAAGAATCAGTCGAATCCTGTACCCAGTTCAACGAAAGTTGCTCAGAGCTCTCGGTCCTCTCGGTCGCCCGACGTCGCTTTGCACCTGGGATGCGTGCCTGCGGAGCCAAAAGACAGACCTTGAGCCAACCCTGAAACAGCATGGAGCTCCCATAGAGTTTCCATTCAACGCGCCTGGTAGCTGGTCTTGCCATCAGGCCACATCTGCAGGTGAGGCCGAAAAGTTCGGAACTGATGTGTGGCTTTCTTGCCTTATATATTTTTGTCTACTCAAAGCTGGTTGAACCCAATGTGTTACTTTGATTGTGCAATGTTCTTTTGCAAGCGCTTGCCATAGTGATACAGCCTGTAGCATCATGTGGGCACAGCATTGTCAAACGATTGGTGGCATTGCAACAACAATGAAAAGGACCATCATTGAGCCATGACAAAGAAACATGTCCTATATCTGGAAAGGAAATATCGGCGGTCTGGTCTGACCACTCGCTGCGCGCAAACGAGCCTGGGCAGTCTGCACAAGAGTCTCCTTCGTTTCAGGATTGTGAAGGATCAACATCACCACCTGGCTCAAAGAATTGGTCTCTCAAGGTGTAAATTTTAAATGCAAAGATTCGCGTCGAGCATCCAAGTGCATGCAAATGCTGATTGACATAAGTGCAACCTCATGAGCAAAAAAAAAGCTCGCAGGTGCTCTTGGAACTAACCCTTTCCAGTCCTACACAGCATTAAAAAGCCTAGATAAATTCGCTTCTGGAAACCAGCTAAGATCTCAAAGGCCACTGATGATTACCTTCCGTCCATACCTTAGAGAGTCAAAACCAGCTACAGCGACAGAAGCCCATGCCGATTGGCTGTCGCAATGACCTGTCCTCAACGTATGTCAGTATATAAAACTGATGGTGTGGAGGAGCACACCAGAAAGGAGCATCGTACAGCTTTTTTGGCCAATCTCCTACTTGACTGTATAAGTAGGCGCCTACTTCATTAAGTAAGGGAGAACTTAGCCTAGTACCTTGAAGAAGCGCTCGCACTAATCATTTGGTTCCTAGATGTTTACGGAATTTTACATGAGCCCTTTGGCGCGTTTGGGCCACTGCGGACACCAGCCTCAGTGATCACCAAAATCTCGCCACTAGAGACCTGCAACTCTTCAGTAGTGGTGACCAATCCATACAAAATGAAGGCTTTTCGGATGGAGTGGTTGTTTTGTGTCGTGCAGCTTGCAGAAGGACCTGTTCCGTTTTGCTCGGGCGCAGTGTCACCTAGTGAAGGGATGAACAATGGAGAGCAAGGTCCTTGAGCCCCAACTTTCGGGCTTCAAGATTAGGTGGTCCTCTGTGGTGCTGCATAGGGCCGATCAAAGAACAGCGTCTAAGTATGGGGAGGAAGTCAGACTGTCTCAGCATTGAGGGATAAGACCGTCAAAAATCTAAAGCGATTGGAAAAGATCTGCCAGACAGCGGTTTGTCCCGAATCCTGCGGAGCTAAGCCTGTAAGAGACGAGTTTCTCCTTTGATGAGCTCTGAGGAGAACTCTTTCAGAGACCTCAGGGCGGAGCAAAACGGCCCAGTTAAAGAGGAGACACGCTACCCTACCACCGAACGACCTCCAAACATAATTATCATTGCTCTGTTCTTTTCCCTTCCTTCCCTGTGATACATACTAGAAGCATAAACAAGCAAGGGTTAGGAATGATCGAATCTCTGTCAGATTGGACCTGTAGCGTCCTTCTTCCTAGTAGTGATGCCAGGAGCTCCTAGTAGCTTCTTGCTCCTAGTAGTAAGGCCAGGAGCCCCTTAGTAGCGTCCTTGCTCCTAGTAGCGAGGCCAGGAGCTCCTAGTAGCGTCCTGAGTGGAAGGCTTGGTTCCGTCATGCCCAAATTTCGAGATGTCAATCCTCAGTGCTCACATCTCATGAAGCTCGAGGTAATGGCCCACGTCATTGAGCTGCACGTCGGAATGCTCAATGACCATATTGTGTGTATACATATATATATATATGTATATCAACTAATCTGTTTGAGTGCATCCAATAGGATGCCGAATTCTCCGAGAATCCTTTTATGGGCGGGGATCTGCATCCAATCCTGCATCGTTCTGAATTGTCATGTTTGCCTCCATCCTTCTCACTGAGACCTGAAAGCACAATGGAAAAAAACAGCCCCACATTTCAAGAGAAGCACAAACTCCCTGCAACAAATGAACGAGTAGGAGGCTATTGAGAGAGTTTGTACAGTATATTATAGCGGAGCTTCACCAAGGACCCTGCGAATGGGACACCAAATATTCTCGCAAGGCCTGGTTTGGTCAAAAGACAAGCTGCAAAGCACTTGAAAGGAAAGAGGCTGAAACTACAAATCCACTCCTGACACGTGTCCGTGCATTGTGCAGGATCCTGGACTAAGGAGATCAGGGATCAAAATACTGTAATAACCTTTGGGAGTACGCCCTAAGCCCTTGCGTAGCCATATCTCTCATATCTGTGTACAGTTGCACAGCCACCGTGCCTCCTCATCCAGGCCAATTGGTGCACGCACCAATGTGGAGATCTTAGGTAGTGGGACATGTCTCATGGAGCAAAACGAGGCGGGACATGGGTAATCTTCGGACAGAAAAGAATGGTAGCCTTTTTCTAGTCAACATATCAAAGCTGAGTTACATGGCTCGGCTGGCTTTCAAAGTCTACGCAAGGCCCCAGCCCAGCCAATCGTACCCAAGACTATGTTTGTGAAGCCACGGGCTCCCGCACTTGCGAGCCATGTACCTTAAGCTTCACCTTCGAGAGCATTAGAAAGACGCTCTTGAAGTTGGAGCAAGGGCAAAACGCAACGTCCGAGGACCCATCAGGACTCTGATCAGCTTCGATCAGAATCAAATCTACGGAAATGCGTCCCTCTGGAGACTGTCTGAATCACAAAAACTGAGATTCTCACCACCACTTCTGCAGTTTCTTTTGTGTATCATGCATGCTTGTCAAAATCAGACTGGTCTCTCTTTTGGCCCATCCCAGTCGACCAATCAACAAATCCCTTTTCTGCGTCGTCAACCGTTAGTCGGGCCTTCTTGTTTTCAGCCTCCGAATCCGTCAGCCAGGTGAAGAACTTTGTGTTCCCCTTCGGAGCGGAGCGCGGAGCGCGGGGCGCGGCTTGCGCCGAGAAGAGCATAACTTTCACCCAAAGCCTGGAAACAATAGCTTTCTTCATCGGCAAAGCTTGGAATGGTACTGAAAAGTGTGAAGACCCGCTTCATTTGCCTACGATTTCACAAGCTGTGAAAGCAGCGATGATCTTTGGAACATGCCAGCTATGCCTTTATTCAACTTGATTCATTCATGGTCCAAATAAGAAACAGGTGGTTGGCTGGTGCCCAATACATCTTGAACCCAAGTCACCTGTGGGTCGGTTGCGTTCCACTGCTGCATTGACGGCAAGCCAACCTCAAATTGTTCAGATGCGCTCTGTGGGCGGAAGAGACTCTATTGTGACCCTTTTCCATTCTTCAAAAGATCTACAGTAAGGCCTTCAGTCACTAGCCCAACTTGTCTAATGTCCATTGCCGATCCACACAAGAACAGGCACCAGGTCCACGACCTTCTCCTGCAAAGCCTGCTCACGAAGATTCAAATCCACAATAACCTCCCACATTCCTCTTTTTGCAAACCGCCCGGGAAATTGACCACGGGATTTTCAGGGAATCTTGACATCTCAACCTGTGTACTGGGCTTAAGCACAAAACCAAGTGTCATACCCTGCGATGAAGTCTCCGTCTGTGAAATCTGAACTGCAATTGTTTGCATCACATGTGACTACGAGCCGCCCTTCCCAATGCCTTGTCAGGGGTGGTCACCTTACACTCAACTAGCTCCTTGCGGTAGACAGTGGTAACACCCTGGCACAGGCGCAAGGATGCTCATGTCTTTCATTAGCACATACATGTAGATGATATAGATATAGATGCAAATTGTAGATACCAAAACCTGATTGGAAGGTGGCTGTCTGAAAAGCAATGTGGACGGTAGAAAGCACGTCACAGAATGCCCAAAGCTAAACAATCCTGGCTGTTGGTCCCCTGCAAAAAGAATCAAAGAAAAAGCACCCGAAAGGCTCACCTCATGTCACCTCTAGCTTGGTAGCTTGAGAGGCAAGATCAGTTACCGTGTTGGAGGAGACGGAGAGAGCAGGGCAAGAACATTACAAACACCGGCTCGACGTAACCCAAGCGAGGCACTGGGAAGGAGGGCGAGTCGGTTTCCTCTTCTTGGCGTTCTACTGTGGAGAAGTCGAACGTCACCTGTCGGAAAAATTCAGGCATGCATGTAGCCCCACAACTTCCTGCATGTCTTACGGCACCTCTCGGACTTTATCATACCAACCTCTAACTCGATCATCCCAAAACATTTGAGCAGATGTCACACGTCCATATCAGCGGGCAAATACTAGTACTATTCATTCTCTCAGCATCGAACCATACTGGGATCCATGTTCATCATCTCCCGCAAGATGCGCTCAGAGGTCTGCCTGGCACAAGACTTGCTGGTCAACTGTTGCAGCCAAAAACAGCCCTTCCGATGTCACGCCGCGGGCCTGGCGTTCTCATGTGGCTCCTGGCACGCGTGTTTGTTTCTGTTTGAGAAGATAGATAAGTCTTACCCTGGGCAGCGCGAAAGAGCTGACAATCAACAAGCTAAGATGGCCATAGCTACATTCACCCAACAAGACCACTCACGAGATCTCCATAAACTCTGTGACTCAATATCTTCAGACCAATGACGCACTCACAAGCCAGAGACATCCAACAAAGACCCTCCAAACCCTAAACTTCCTAAACCCCAAACGACTTCCACTGCTCGGTGCTCCGCCATGCTCGGCCTTCTTGGTGCCAGGCAATCTAAGGGTCTCGCGCTCACGGCCATCAGGGAATTGCTCCTAGGAATGCAATTATCTCCACGCTCTATAGTAGGTTTCTACTTTGATTAGTCTACTGATTGGTGGATTGACAAACCGACTTAAACTGACCAAATGAGCAGATTGAACAACAATGCGCTGTCTCTGCACCCATCATGTGGATGCTATTCCACCAACACAATCTGCCGGAGCTGTCGAAAAAGACTTATATATAGTAGAATAAGTAAAAAAATACTATAACTTAGTATAATACTATATAATGCAACATATATGTATATATATATACAGTATATGAATTCCACAGTCCTTGAACTCGACTAATAGGCGCGACCCGTCATCAGGCCGAAGCTTCCTCACAAGAATGTGGCTAAAGAATTAGGTTGTAAAGAATGAATGAACCTCCATTGTGTTCTGAAGCTTTGCACTCCAGAGTTTGCTTTAGGCAGAGTCATCAGACTACTGGGACCCTTCTGCAAAAAGAGTGTTCAAATCTGTCGTCGAAATGAGGTGTTCCTCGTCTATCTCATACTCATACTTCAACCTTCAACTGCCACAGCAAGGCCAAGCTGGCAGCTAGTACAGGTTTGGAAGCTTGTATTGCAATTGCTGTCTGATTAGGACCGATGGCAACAGAACGTATCAGGTTTCCTCCCATACCCACCCAGAATGACAAATTGATCATCTCCAGAACCGATATTGTGATTGTTATCTTAAGCCTTGCATAAAGTACGCCGTCCGCGCATCAACGCTCGAGTCCAAATGCTTGGCGGAGTCCATGTGCGAGAAAAACAAAAATGACGCTGCAGCTGCAGCAGCTCATGTCAAAGGTGGGCAAATGTTGGGCATAGTCGACGGGAATGAGACGGATATTCATCAAATGAAAAGGGCTCCCTGCTCTGCCCCACTCATAGTCAGTATCTCATCATGATGTGGTACTCTCATCCTACTTTCATTGCTATAAGGTTGGGGGCCATCGCTACTAGGGTGGAGGCCATCGCTAGTAGGGTAATAGCTCTACTGTCATATGATTCCGCAGGTTTACCATTCCCGCAAGTCCATGCAACATGCAGCTTGGAGCCCAGCAGAACCACAATGTCCACCACTCGCACCTCAAGCAAGCAAACCTCTTGCACTTGACTAAACGACAAGCAGCCCGCCCACCGTGAACCAGTAGCGCGTAGCTGTATGTTTCTTAAAGCCTAGGGCATCTAAGAATCTCATCTTCATCTGTTCATGCCATTACACTGCAGCTTGGAGGTGGATTGATGCGACAAATATAGTCCAGCTAGACTCTCAGCCGTCTGAATGCCGACATCCGCCGCAGCAAGCGAATCTTCGTTTTGACTATGTAAGCGATTGGGGTGTGATTGCGCGGCCCGCGTCTGGCAAACCAATGGCTCATTCTTCGTGTGTTCAAAAGCCTGACACTTTCCACAACAGTAATGCCCCGTCAACCGATCAAGTCCTCAGCTAGGCACCAACTTCTTGTGTTGCTGTGCATCCAGCATGAGCCTTCAGTTTGTGATGAGCCATCAGTCTCGCTGCATCAGGGAATCTTATTTGAACTTTCAATAACCATCCAAAATTATGTAAGGATGAACTTCTCATCAGCTCAAGAGGGGCAGGTCGGGCTTAAATCATACACTGTCTTATTTCATCAGCCAACCAAACCAGCAGAGCGCCTGCTTGCTCCTGTTTCTACCTCCTTCGCCAACTGTTCGATTCCTTTTGCCTCAGCAAAACCAAGCTAATCAAATGTGTCAATGCCACTACAAATGTTGGTGACCAGATTGCCAATAAAATCACAGTTTTCCTGCACAAAGACAGCTGGTTCTCCCTCATGCTGTCCATAAGGCAAAGTCAACCCCCTCCCCGCCAATGCCTTTCCGACACCAAATTGGTTCGGGTCAATGTTGTGCCTCAGAGATTGAGAATGTTCAACGTTGTGATCAGCAAGAAAAGCAACTTTCACAAGAGTCAGTCAGAATGTATTTGGGATACTATAAGTTCTGTAAAGCAACAAAAAAGTGAGGCATCCACTCCACAAGCGTCTTCCGGAACATAGCCAAGTCCATAGGGTCATCCTTGCATGGCAATGCATAGAAGGCATGAAAATGTTGATTCTGTAGTCTGTGCCTGTCCATATCATGGCACCATGCCGTCCATAACTGAAACGAAAGAAGCGTTGCAGTGTAGCGGGGCGCCTTGGGTGCTGCGGCCAAGTTCTCAAAGTCTAAGAGCTTGTCCTTTTTTCGCCTGCGAGGCTTTGCGCTCATATCTCGTGGGCGAAGATCAGTGCTACGGTGCTACGCCTGCTACGCCCTTGTGGCAATTCCCTGTGCCACCTGAAAAGTGCCTTGTAGTCATACCATGGTCTTGGCAGGTGCTTTGCGCAACATAACTAGGCCCGTCTTCAACTACCCTTGCCAGACATCCATCAAAATAGCTTAGCCTATCGGAACACTAGTATATTACAGTACATGGGCACCAAAACAATAGGCATTGGCTTTGCAATGGCAGATATAAGCATTCTGGTACCTTGCTACCTGGCGAATCCACCAATCTCTGAGTTACTGGTCGACACTACTATGCATTGTGAATCACAAAGACAGGCAGGCCCCTTCAATCCGCATCCCAGAATACATATATACTCGGGCAAAATCAAATGGATAAATTGCTCAAGCTCGCCTGCCTATTATATAAACGCCAGAACTACAGTTTCTCAGGCGTTGGGCTTGCTGTAGACTTCGGTGCGCCAAGCAAGCTCAACATGGCTGGCAAGTGCCAGTGCCACAGTGCCTGATCCTCGGACCACCACTCGTACGAAGCCTTGCCACCTTGTACCTGCGAAAGTCATGTGGTTCAGCTTTCCAGAACCTCAAAGGAAAACTACTCAGCCTGGTGGTTGGATAATCGCTGAACCATGCGATAAGGAAGAGTAACAGTATGCTGCAATCTGAAAGCATGGCAGTTTACTTTCTCAAACCTCTAGAAACGCACGAGCTCACGAGCTCCCTTTATGTCCTGCTGGTGAGCCTTGCCCAACGGACCAACGGAATACAACCTGGATTCTTTGCTGAGTTCTTCCAAATCCTACAGAAGCAACTTTTACAGTATATATATAGTTGTTATTGCGATGTATATATTTGTTTCGCACCGTCCAGGCAACACAGGCAACACAGGCGCACAATCTTGTCTGCAACCACAAACTTTTTGTGCTTGTGATTTTGCAGCTGCCTCCTTAGGTCATGTTGCGAGTGACCAATCTGAAATCAAACAATTCCTTCAAGCAAACAACTTCAAGGATTTTGTTTTGAAAAACGGTGACATCTCCGTGTCCAAGCTCCCAAGCTTAGTCACATTACCCTTGCGGCTTTCAGCCTCCCGATTCATGCGCTGGATCAGCTCCTAGCGCCAGAACCGACGAAGATCGAAGTAAAGATGAAACCGATGCCGGCACTCGAAGAAAATGACTTCCTAACGGACTGGTCAAGTTTTGTGCTCACACAATGAAAAGAGAGAGAGAGAGAGAGAGACAAACAGAAACACGCACTGTCAGAGGCTCGGCCCAGATTCGTCTGAGCTGCTTCCTCTTTTAGGCGGGGAAATGAAGACATCCAGACATTGGAAAGGCTGATATCGTTTGCTCTTCGGGCACCTTGTCCGTGCATTTGGTGCTAAGAGCAAAAATGTCTCTCTCACAGAGCAAGAAATCACATCAATCCCGTCGGGGAGTCCTGCCGTCTCTCCTTAATGCCATCGTTCACACCAGCCTCAGGGCACTGAGCTGGCAAACGTTGGGTACCAAAGGTATCAAGTGTCTTCACATCATCCTAGAGATAATTGGGAAGGGCCCGGAGAGGGGACAGCCCAACTTCACCAAGGGGCAGCACGCTGGCTGAAGCATTGCTCGTCCCGATTGGTCAGAAATATCTCGTTTCAAGACTTCCCAGTTCCGCCTCCTGCATGCCATCTGCCTGGTGATCATCAGGCCTAGCTGCTTGGAGATATTCACATGATATTCTTGTCAAAAGGGCTTTGAGCTTGATTTCAGACTGTTCTCCTCAATTCGTGCCAAACAGCAAGGGTATTCCCTTGCGGGAAAAATATAGAAAAACACTTCTCGCAAAGCTGCTTGCTGAGTTCCGGGCTCCTCCGCAGGCTTGTCAGCACCATCTGGAGGCCTGTGGAACATGATTTCAATCTTCCACAAAGACTTCCAAACCTCTACGAAACGCATTATATAGACAACTCAAATTCGGGAGAAAAAACAGTGCGTGAAGTCAGCTGGAGGCACTTGCCAAACTTGCCAGCAATCCAGGGATGGGCCATGACCTGCTGTGAAGCAATTACAATGGACAGCCCATCCAGGTGCGCAGATGGGGTGCTTTTTGAAAATCTAGCTCGATTGATTGCCAAACCCTCATTTATTTGACGGTACATGACGCAGTGCCAATGAGGCACTGAGTACCAGCAAGGTGACCTTGACTTACCAACGCATATACAGCAACGCGGGGACATGTTAATAATGATGATTTATTGCACCATGACAAAGTGCTCTCTGACATCCCACCATGCAACTGCACAGCATTGACATGCTGAGATCTGGACGTCTGACGAACTCATCCGTGACTTTTCATGTTTCTCGAGCATCTTCCGGATGAACTCCTGCCCGCATCTGATTAGAACGGTGTTGCTTAAGGGGCAAGAACAACCTATGCCTTCCGACTACAAGCACCTTTGTCTTGGTGTGGGATATGTATATATATATATATATCTTGCTGCCTGACTCGCCTGCTTCAGGTGGGCCAATATCTTCTGGGAATTTTTGTGAAACTAATCGCCACCTATGTCTCAGCAATTCCTGACTTGTTCGTACGCTATGCTCGAATGCTCCCTTGTGATGCTCTTCGTCGGATGGTTTTTTGCAAGCTTTTTCTCAGCGGAGCTCCTCACAAACTGGATGCACTCGCTTCGGAATACGTACTTCCTTGTTCCTGCGGCAGGCTCTGGCTGTCATGCCAACGACTGTCCTGACTTGAAGCAGCTGCATGACTCAAACAGGCTTCAAGGGTTTTGGGTCTTAGCCCTGCATAACTCTTGGTTTGCATGAGGAATCCTAGGTCTCCCTTCAAGCGTACCTGACGTCGTTCTCATCCCGGAAGGGGAATCTGCCTGTCAGCCAGAACGATGCATGTGAGACAGACCTGCGAGAAGAAACCTCAAAAGTCAGAGTAACGGCAACAGAGACTCTCTTGGGTCCCCGTGCCACTTACTAGGCCATACATGATGACCCCCATTGCCCAAACATCCACCTGCGTCACCAAGACAATTTGGAGCAACCGGCACCAACTGAACACAGAGTTTTCGACAAACTTGTAAACAATCTGTTAAACACTCTGTGAAGCAGTGCAAAGGATTTCCACCTTGTGACCATAGTCACGGTCAAAAAACTCAGGAGACCAAAAAATCTTTGTTCCAACCTCAGTACGAAAGACTGCATTTATATAATCATTTACGCTCATCCTGATGAGACTGAAGCGCCGAAGGTTCGTATTCCGTATTTGTTCAAGCGCTGAAATTGCGGCTTAAAGTCTTGCCACACATTTTGCCAGGCTACTCCAGAAGAGAGTCGGTCGGAAGGAGTGGCGGTGCAGGCCTTAGTCTGAAAACAGCAGAAAGGCCCTCCGTGTCTCAACAAGTAGTGTGTGCCCAAAATTGTGCCGCACGGAAGCGTGCAAAAGTGTTTCTTGTGTCATCCTGCCTTCCCAACTGTGTTAATGCGAACAAGTGTGACAAGGCGGGTCACCACGGGTTCCAACAGTATGTTTTATCTAGAAGCCGAATTACACCAGCAAGAAAAGTTGAAAATCATGGAAAAACAGAACATGAGGGTACGTAGGGAGACAAATCAGAGACAAAGACAAAGAGAAACAAAGGCCAAATGGCCACGAAACACAATCCTTTGGGAGGCAAGAAGGAAGACAGAATGCTGCTACAAAAGGATCATCATGCCGTCACCCAGCTGTAGGAAGACAAAGGGAATGATGCTGTGACGGACAAGAATGGAGAACTCAAGGGAGAAAGGGCAAGACAAGGGAGACACAAAGCGAGAAAAGGCCGGGAATCATCTTGGCCCAGGGATGCTTCTAATGGCGATGTGCTTGGGAAACAAACGGATGCGATCTGTCCGCCGATTAGTACCTTGCCCGGTTTACAAGCATCAGATCACAAAGAATTCCTGAAAAAATGTCCAAAACCAAAGGATTCAATAATTCTACTAAGTACAACCTGTGAAACGCTTCCTTTGAGGTAGGCTTTACGCACAACAAAAATCACAAGATGGTACAGCCGCCCTCAGCGTCAACCTACCTCCACTCCACCCAGGATCACCAGGACCACTCCACTTGCACCGAATGCTGCTCCACGTCGCATACCAAATTCAGCTCTTTCACCCTCTGGGATACCCCACAGTGCCAAAATCTGTCAGCACAATCTTGCACTGCTTGTCCGTCATGTTCTGCCATGTGTGAACATCTTCCATGCAAACCATCACGGCTAGCAAAGAACTGACAAACTACCAAAGCAGGGATAAGAATCTCAACCTTGCGATCCATCAAGTAGTTGTCACCCTTGACATCACGATGCATGTAATTCCTGCACCAGGAGCCAAAGGAGGTGATGACTCGTTCAATGCAAGAGACTGGCATTTGTAGGCTTTGGTACAAAGTACTTTTCCAATAAGTGAAGTTCTGGCGGCTACTTTTGCAGTTATGGGTCTCCTCTGATGCAGGTAGTGAATGGAGGCAGCCATCTGATACCTCGCGGGACGAAGGTATCTTTAATCAAATTGGACAGCAATCATGAACCTCGGAAAGAGTGCTCTGAGACACAAACGCTACGTGCACAACGTCCAAGCAGTTGATCTGCCCCCGCTCCTTCCAATATGTATACCGTTCAGGTTGAACTTTGCAGACCGTCTAGAGATTCCTCTAAGTCAATTCCATCCAGCGGGTTGTCACACCACGTTCAACTCCTTCAAGTGACGCTGCAGGCCCTCAACCAAGTCGCCACCGTCCAACTTGTCCATGACAATGCAAACAAAGCACCTCAGGAGCTCATCATGTCCAACCGACATTGCGAGGCCTCCTCTACTGATTGAACTGGCCCCGCCTCTCATAGTAAACACCGTGAAACTTCACAATGTTCGGGTGATCCTTGGGGCATGCGAACCGAAAGAGTGCGTTGGCATGTGGTGTCCTGGATTTGCTTGTAGAGAGCTCTGCAGCTGCTGTTCACATTACATTGTTAGATTCCACAAATTGGTACACATTTGGATTTCCAAACTATTTAAGTTGGCAAAGTGATGCTTTGGTCTCTGAATCACCTGTGGCTTGTCAACCTGGGTGACAAGGCCATGCTTTGCAGAATCTCGGCTTCTTTCTTGATGGCTTCCACGGGCGTCTCCACCTTGTCAACCATCTTCACCTTGTTCAGTTGAATGATGTCGGTCGTTCGACTGCGAAAATAGCTCCTTGGACCGGAAGGTGGTAGAATCTGCTAGAATGTCCATTTGCCAGTGAGTTGCTGCATACTCCTCACCAGTAGCTCGCCTTTTGCACACCTGGACAATTGAAGGGTAAGTCACGTTGTTTCATTTCCAAATCCTGCTGGTCGGCAAATGTCTGAGTCTTGCACGGACACAACGCCGAAGGCACCTTCACCCAGGGTCAGTCCAACCTCTCAGCAGAGTCTAGGAATCAAGCAACAGCAACTTATTTCATAACAATGCAAAAATAGAACGATGGCCTGCTGCAAGTAGCACTTCGTCTAGATTCTGATGACAATGCCAAATTGGGGGGCAAGTAGCACTTTGTCTGGATAGCCAGTAAGTGTGTGGCGACACGACAGAAAGCCACGACTTCTGTTTTGCGCAAATCTTGGTTTGCGCATGCTGCACGATACCGACCCTTTAAAAATGCGAACTGAGCATTTGGACTTGAAGCTGGATCCCAGCTACGGGCGGGAAACATATTTTAAAGAGGCTGGTGTTTATGTGTGTGTGTGTCATGTAGTTTCTTGCTTGTGGCATTTAATAGCAATGAGCAGCCAAGAGATGTTCCCCTCTTTGTTGGTTGTTGCTTGTTGGGTTGCGTCTTGGGCTTGGCTGTTCTGGGTCAAGCTATTGGCAGGCCAATTTTGTGTCAGAATCGGAAGTGTTGAACACCCGCATGACATGGAACACAGCACAAATTCCGGTGAATGTCCATCTTATAACTGATCCTCCCATCTGTCCATCATAATAGATCTGGGCATACAGTGCAGCGGTTCAGCACATAGGGAATTGCAGGTGGCAGGTGTTTGATTTGTATCAACGAACATCAGGTGTAGCAAGTCATTTAGTAGGTTGGAGGCCATCGCTATTAAGTTGGAGGCCATTGTGGTGAACACATCTTACTATTGGCAATTGTTTGCCGTTGATTCGGCCGCCGGGAATATGCATTCGTAGGTAGCCGAGTGCACAACGTTTACGTCAGAGAGGACGTGTTCACAAGAAGTTCTGCACTCAATATCCAGAACTGGGATCGCAGCAGAGTATTCATCCAGCAACCGAAGTTCCTGGGTGCTTTTCTCAGCAGCCTGGCAATCACTGGCTGGCAAGGTTCATCCCGACACATTCCACTTTAAAGTGGTTCAAAAGAAACATCTGGTGGCTCTCTTCTCGGCCCAAACAAACTCTAGATAGAGGTTGCTAGTGCAATGCGCAAATCTCGATTAAGTCATCACTCATGAAAACAGCCACCAAACAGCGACGATGTTTTCCAATAAATTCTGATAGCTTCCTCACACGGGGGCAGACTCCACGTGTTGGAAAAACAATCCGGTGGTCAGTCACTCCGGTCTTCGAATGAACTAATTTTCCAACGATTCAAGCCAAAGGAGCTGACAGCACACCACCAGTTTGTATGTTGTAATACATCCGCATATATATATATATTTGTATTGTATGTGTATATATATATATATATGCGTAAAATATTACGATACAATAATTGAACAAGAATCAAGACTTCAAAACCAATGGAACTGCACGTGCTTTGACACTCTCAGAGGCGACTTCTGGCCTGGTTCCCAGGCATTCCGGGGCTCGCCTTGGAAGACCTTGGCAAGTCTCGAGAACCCAAAAACCTGAAGGGTTGTTTCCTAGTCAAGGACACATTTGGTTTCCCATGAAGGGTCTTTGTACAAATCATCACTGGGACGCACATCGACCGCATGCACTATCGCATTGCAGCAGACCAAGCTTAGGCAAGCTCGAACAGCCCATGGAAGGAGGCCTGAACAGCTCAAAGGAATGGAAAGCCTCTGTCACTTCGAGCCAATGCTGACTCTGAAGGAGTTTTGCCCTTGTCTCCAAGACCACAAAAGGTCCAAAACCCATTGCTGTAGACACTGTAGACTGTTGCTAATGCTACATACCAAGTTTGGCCAGTTGTGTGCACACAGTTTTTGTCTGTCCAAATCCTGGAAAACCCTCAAAGTGTGGTTTAGACAACGAATGCTAAAAGCCCTGTGTTTGCACTGGTTAAACCGATTTTGTCAAGTATACAACACTTGCTGCACATACACCAATGGTCCTTTGATTGCTCGCAAAAAAACAACTATTCATCACCGAAAACTGGACATGTGCGGGGCCAAAGAACGACAGCAGCGAACCAAGTTTGTACTTGGGCCTGCCTCCCAGCCTGACCGATGACGTGGAACGTCCTGCAACAGGATCAATTCAACAGGCTGTTGTCAACAGGTGAAAATTTTTGCAAAGTTTACAAACTATCCTGACTATCTTGTGGATTGCTCACATGTGACTTCACCACCCAGCACATCATAGGACATTGTTGGGATTTCCAATGAATTTACACAGACTGATGCACCATCCTAACTCCACCCTTTTAATGACACAACCGACACAACCTGCAAAACAAATTGCCCGTAAATCTGTTCCACGTCCTCTTGGATGGGACGACTAGTTAGACGCTCACTACTGAATCCAAAACAATGCATGAGCCAAACTGCAGGTTCGGGTGCATACAGTGCATCAATCGGCGCGTGCAATGCGTGCCACATTGGCCTGCACACTAACAACCTTGTGCACAAATACCCCATGGTCGAAAAAATGAATTAAAATGGTGGAAAAATAACACTCAAAGAACAACAATATTTTCGCCCATACAAGTGACAGTACTGTGGCAAAGGGGCATGCCAGTAACACGCCTCAAGCACCCAAGTCAAAACTGTCACGGCATCATGCTTTTCACCATGGTCCTCTTGAACAATTGCAATTCGGATACCCAAGTGGTCCCTTTTACATTCGGTGAAATGCATGTGCACATGCATGGAATATCAGTTTCTTCCTCCAGTGGTTGAAAATGTAAAATTCCAATGCGAAACTCCGTGGGCGCTGCATTTGTGAATGTCTTTCCTGCTTCGGGCACTAATTGCATTGCATCGCCGCTGGAGACGTCAAGTCAATTCTGTTTTCTTCCCGTGGAACAGTTTCTCATCCTGATTTTTTTTCTTGTGCCGCACTCTCCTGCTGATTTTTGCACGGGTGGAGACACCATGTGTGCAGAGGTTGCACAGGTCATCTTATGCTAGTAAAGAGAGTTACAATCCAGGTTGCAATAGAAGAAACACCAAGCACCGACAAAGAAAACCAAGACACCAAGCCCCCAAACAACACAGCGACCAAACAAAACCAAACCAGAACCAGCCCCCAGGAACCAACTGCAACCTGGTGCGCAACTCAAGCGGCCATGTCAGCCAAAGTGAGAGAAGGTGAGACCGGGGCGATGAATTCAGCCTTTGCACTCAGTACGCCATTACCACAAAGAGGTGTTGATCAGCATTCCAGCGACAGATCGAATCCTTTGAGTGGAGACCTCTATAGCCGAAGTGTCATGCATGTTGAAAGAGGTCACATTGGGCGAGTACCGTGTTGAGAGCATTGAAGGCTCAGGGGTGTTTGACAGACAGCAATCGAAGCCTGCATCATGGGACTTCAGGTAGCTTGCAAAACTGTCGGCAGTAGACCAGGTAACATGGGAGGCTCAGAGGAAAACCACTGTATCAGCTTACGAAAACTTCAAATTGTCGAAAGCACGAGTGCAGCGAAAACAAGACCATGTAGTGTTGAGAGCGCGGACATCACGCCGACTAGGGCAGCTCCCCCCCCAAGGGGAGGAGAGTGCATTGATGCTACACCAGTTTGTGGCGGTGACTCCAAAACAGCTTTGCCACGGGAGTCACAGAAAGACAATCATTCCCAAAAGGTCAAGGAGGGACAAACGAGTGGCTCATCGGGAGCAGTTTGATGCGCACCGATTTGTGCAATGTAGGTATGCTGTCTGCGAATGCCTAAAACATGCAAGCCCCGTAATCTAGGTGAAACAAGGTGAAACGCCGTTATCCTATATCTAGCTTGCCATGCAGGCCTGTACTCTTCGTACTCATCCAGGACTGACACTAGGGTGGCAGCCTGGGCACTGTCTAGCTACGCTGTTCTGCTGTACAGAAGATCGTCGAGCATCAACGTGCAGTAAGCAGGACCGACACATGGGCGCCAGCCTGAGAAGCGAGCAGCATCGGCGTGGGTCATTGCGTAGCTCGTGGTAAAACTCTTCAGCCTCAAAAGTCCTACTGCTGCCTTGATTCGGCGGTAGGAGATTGATCCATTTTGGCATGTCGAACTTGTGGCACATCTCGAAAGCGTTACTTTCGACATATGGTCCTCTCCATGTCGTTTTGTCTTTCGTTTTGTGAAGTCTGCTAAGTTGCGCGCAACCAGAGAAAGCTCGGTGGGCAATATACAGCAAGGCTGGAGGGGTATGCCCCCCAGAGCACAGCAAGAAAGTTTCTTGTCCGATACGCCATAGTCTCTTGGAGAGACTAAGTTGCTCCAAGTGCGAACAGTGCGCAAAGGTTGACCCCAAAATCGCAGTCAGATCAGTACGGGAGAGATCAACTCGTTGCAGCCGTTTGCAGTTTTCACAGGCGGCTGGTCCTACGAAATTGAAGTCAAATGGCATGTCCAACTGGGCAATTCCCGACCCAAGGAAGCAGCCCTCGGGTATGTAACGTGTACAATTTGCAGGGTCCACCTCTGTTTTTTCGAAGTTGACCTGCCGAAGTGCACTGCATCTTTCAAAGGCATGCGGAGAGACCTGAGCCTGAGGGGCAAGCTGATTGGTTGCGTCTTCAGCAGCTCCTACCTGGGACAGAGAGCAGCATTCCTCAAACACGCAGCGTCCAAATTGCTTGCAGCCTGGGGCCAGGACCACTCTAAGTGCATAGCTTCGTTGAAAGACACCGTCCTGTAGACAGACAACAGTGCTTGGCAGCTTGACTATTTGGAGTCGTAGACACCTTTGCCAGGCGGCCTCGCCTATAGTGTGTATGCCCACTTCCACACGTACACGTCGAAT